TCTCTCTCTCTCTCTCTCTCTCTCTCTCTCTCTCTCTCTCTCTCTCTCTCTGAGTTTCCCTCTCACTCTCTCTCTATCTATGAATCTATGTATCTATTTATCTATTTCGTTTCAAACACGCTTCGACGAATAGAAGGATAATTTCTCCTTTGCTTGGCTCTTCTGAAACTACAGGCTCTCAATAGGAAACTGGCCTACCAAATTGTAGGATATTAAAGAACCTTGAAATATGTAACGGGTGAAGATGTGCAATGCTAATTATGCCCTGTTATGCCTCACATTTATTCTTTCTTCTTTGGGTTCCCCAGCTAGAACACAGCGGTAGTTGACTGCTGGTTCTTCAGCCTATATGGCAACTGATGTTTACGTACGTGGCCGTTTATCCCACTTTGTAAGGCCGTTCGTCCGCAAGCGGTCACATTCCAATTTCGAAGGCACTTTATCTGTTTTTATACTGAATAATTTCCTTTTTGGTAGGAATTTATCTTAAATTTTGCTTGGTTGTCGGCCGTAGCTTACATTTTTCGATTTTAGGACCGCCAAGGCATTTTAACGTGCGCAACTTGCAAAAGGGACCTCCGAGATTCTCCTCTAGTCAAAAACTCCATCTAAAATGTGTTTAATGTTGTCAAAGTTTGTTGTTTGGTTGGTTTAACTCTTTTACTTTTCATCATATTTGTTTGGTTGGACTTTTTTTACGTTGTTGAAGTTGCTTTTTGCTGCTTGGGAGGGAAATGGGTAATATTTAGGTTACTTCTGGGTGTAGATTTCTTCTCAATACTTCCTAGTCCTGTTTTCTTGAGCTAGCTCTGCGACTCTTGGCAAGTATATCCCATTCTCTTCTTAATTGAGACAGCGATATTTCGAAGGGATGGAATTACCGCTCTAGAAGAAAAAAAATTACGTTTCAAGCGAAGTCAAAGTAAAAAACAAGATGAGGTTATTATTATCATTATTATTATTATTATTATTATTATTATTATTATTATTATTATTATTATTATTATTATTATTATTATTATTATTATTATTATCTATTAGAGACGTCACTGAAGACGTGGCTCGTACGATAGAACAAAGAACCTTCTGCCGTACAAATTTAGGGCTGTGCTTCAAAACCGTTTCATATCCTGGTTCTTTTCAAAAAGGCCACTTAAATTCTCACCCCTGGTGAGAATAGCCCATGACCCGATATTCTCACCCTCACCCCGGTGTGGACATGAGGCGAGGACTCACCCCTGACCTGTCGCAGGCCGAGAAAAATCACCTTAGCCCTAGGTGACCTACTGCATGTGGTTGGGAAATGACTGAGGAGTGCTAGGCGCTTGTTTAATCATGTAGGCCAACTACTGATTACCGTTGCCATAGCCTTAATTTGTTTGGGGTTTTTGTGTGTGTGTTGTTGTTGTTTTTAATCAAATAGCCTTTTTAAAATTATGAGTACCGGTAGGTATCAGGGGAAAAAATACGTTCTGCTCGTAACATTTTGTCCTTGCATAACCATAGTGTTGCTCGTTTGTTTGTTTGTTTGTTTGTTTGTTTGTTTGTTTTTATTGGGGTTTTCTTTTTTCACTCCTCTTTGCTTTTCAGGGTGTAAAATGGCCTTCACCCAGCCCATTAAATAAACTAAATCCGAAACTTATCTAAGTCTGTACAACTTAATCTCTGTGCTGTTCTGTGTGTGTCTGTGCAATAGGCCTACTGTATATATGTGGCACACCTGTTGGGTTGAGGGGGTGAGAATAGCGAGACACAGGCTGTTCTGTTCTCACCCCTTGTGAGGATAGCCACTTCCTTTCAACAAACCTTCCTTCGTTCATACTTGGATGAACTATTGATCGTGTCCTTTGAGGCTCGCTATCATAGTGCCTGTGCTTGAGAGTGCGTTATCAAGCACCAAATCTAGTTTATATACGGGTGAATGCTATCTGCCCATGCTCAGTGGTGCGGTAATAGGCAATGGGCCGAAGCATAAAAACAGCATATTGTCATTTGGTTAACGGTCGTCTCTTGTGGCTTAATTAAAAAACCTGTCGAAGACTGGTATTTACAGATATCTGGATTTTTTTAGCTGTCTTGGTGGTCATCCTTCAAGTTTCTAGCCTGCACAAAAGGACCGTACTCATTTTCATCTATTAATATGTTCGTTTCTACCAAAGATAAAGAATACCGGAAATTCAAACTCGTTCTCTGGATCCGATTTGCTGATAGTATATGTAATAAATATTGATAAAAAGTGCAATAAAGCACTTGAGAGCTCGCACCGTTTCTCTGGCGGGCTCATAATAGCTCTTGAGATCTGCCCTGGTTTGGGGTCAAAGCTCTTCAAATAATCCAAATGACAGAGAGTATCGGTGAATGCGACAAATGCAAGCACATTGAATGGGAATATCCACCATGTCCGGTATTTGCTATTAAAGTACTGGGGTCGGGGCGTGCAGGTTGTCCTCATGGTTTCATAACGTAGACCTTAGATCTACTATGACATTCTATCTTGGAGGACTAATAGATAAGGCGCTGAAGGCTGGACTTTGAAACTGTCTTTGTGGTCATTCTTCAAGTTTCTCGCCCGCAGAAAAGAACCGGACTCATTTTGATCTGATAATGGCTATTGTGTTTGATCAAGTCTTGGTCGTTGAGGGGTTGAGTTAGAGGAAATACAGAATTCTAGTATCGAGGCCTGGTTCTTCTATGTTAATTCTGTGACTAAAATTATAACGCAAAAACCAGACAAAATTAAATAATTTTAAGTGACCTAGTACGGTGTGTGCACAATGACAGCGATGATAAACATTAGCAAACTTGACTTTTTACAGTATGTAATGGTCATAATATTATAAGTTCACGCGACAACTGTGCAAGTGTCACAGCCACAGCATGGGGGACTGGGGAAAGGGGCAACTGTATTTCTTACTAGTGGTGTTAGAGAAGAGTAATCATGTGAAAGGGGAGGGGTGATGGGACTGTAATGGTTGAGCAAACGGAATGAATATATGGCATCAGGGTTTTTGTGGGTTTTATTGCTTTGGAGGAAGGTTTCTCCGAGTTGGGGGGGGGGGGATACATTAAAATCATGCAAGAAACCTTGGCAGCCCATTTGTCTTGGTCCTTTCGGAGACGGACATTAATTTCGGAGGCCAACCTCTTAGATAATCTAATAGTGTTGATAAGGGCGGTAACCCCCTTACGCTTAAAGATTCTTAAAGAGTTCTCGAACGATGAATACTGCGAAATATTAACAGCGTGTTGAAATCAAAAGGGTCAGAAAAACAAAAGGTCTAAGTCACCTTGAAATCATTTCGAACAAAAAATTAAAATGCACAACAAAAAAAACCAGCTTGACTTAAGCATTATCATATTACTGAATTTTGGAAATGTGTAAAGCCCTTACCTTTGATATAAAGCTATCCTGTCTTTTCATTTGAATGTGTTGTATACCCTGAAGCGTGTCATCATACCAAGAACTCTATTTTTTTAATAGAAGGTGACTTACATCATTTATTTATTTTACCCCTTCAATTGTCAACATTATTTACCAATGATAACAACATTATCAATTCTGTAATGCTACACGTACACCACCTTTGCTGTAGAAATGTTAACACTTCTTTAAGATTCAAACATCGATTAATGACGTGTTTGATTTGGAATTTTTAGGGACGCTCTGGAAGGCAGCGGAAGCTGTCGCTTGCTCTTGACATAATTTCACTACGTTAGAATTACAAAGGTCTCTCTGACTTTTTTGGTTGTTTTGAAGAACTACGACCATGAGGCAGAAACCAAATGTTCTGTCTGATTAATCAGAATCGTTAGATTATTCTGAGTCGTTATCAAGATATCAAAGAACGACATTAAAAACGGCTTGACATGTTGTTAAACTCAAAATATTTTAAGTCAAATTTCTCAAAACTAGGTACCGTGCAGATAGAACTTGGTAATTCTAGGTTAGCGATTATCTTCGCTGGCTAGGTTAATGAATTGAGCTGATTATCATTGTTCATCTTGTGTGGTCAGGTAGATGAACTGAGCTCGCTCTCCGCCAACGAGTCGAAGGTCTCTGTGGCGGAGTGAGTTACGAATTAGATCTAGAACTACAAAGTTGAACCTATATGGCTCCCAAACTATTTTACTTGCCATTCCTGCAATGGTTCCTCGCAGCCCGGTGCGGCACTTTCGACAGGACTTACGATGTGTTTAATGCGACGCTTAACGACTAAAAACAAAATGCATTCAAGGCTGGGGTGAGGGTACGATTTTTTTTTTTTTTATTACTATACATCTATTCATTTTGGACACATAGCTCTACAAAACCTATAAGGATTAAACTGCTAGGTCTGTATTGTCTTTCATTTCGCCCGCGGTTTTTGATATTTGAAGTTTGGTGGGCGGTTTAAAGGTAATTGAAATGTACCTATATTATCAGATTTAAATGAGACGTTAACAATAATGTAGGGATAGCACAACTAAAAATAGTCGCAATCCTTCACAGCTTGACAGGTCATCGGTTACCAACTTTCGAGGAAAAAAAAACTTGCCAAAATGTTGGAAACAGTGTGGAAAGGTCTACTTGAGCCCTTCATTCGGAACTTACTTGACCTGAAACACATATCCTAAGTCTCCACTCTCTGTGACGCCAACATAGAGGTGATCGTGACATCATGTGCGAAAGACGATTGTAAGAACATTGGGTTTACGTAGACTTTTACATTGTTTGATACCAGTTTTGGATGTAGCCAACTGCCATTTAGCATAGAGCGAAAAAAAAGTCTTATTTGAATCAGTTCAGATGCCTTAACTGGGAGTTTTGCTGTGTGGCAAGAAATGGCTATCCTTAACTCTCTTCAGTGCAGTTTGAGTTGGATCACACTGGCAGAGAATAGTCATTCTTTCAACGTTTTGTTATGGTCTTTCCTTCTGATTAAAATCTTCATCATCGACCAAAAGAGATGGATATGCCATATATATGGTTTTTGTTAATGTAAAAAAAGATACTCTTAAAAACAGCATAGCGCTTGATACAAATATTAAAAACATGAAATACTTAAAACAAAACATATGGGTCAACGGGTTTTACGGAGGAAAATTATTAAGATACCCCGAAGGCTTATCGTGTATGAATGACTGTTTCGGGAAACTGGAGGCACAAGTAATAAAGAATGTCCTTGGGAAAGAAGAGAAAGAGACAGACACACACACACACACACACACACACACACACACACACACACACACACACACACACACACACACACACACACAGACACCCAGACA